GCCGTATCCATGATAAAACTCTCACACTCGGACAGTAACGAACTGAACTCGGGAGGAAAATACGACGTTGCTTCGTCCTGCGTCACACGTGATCGTATGATCTGATTTACACACGTGTCCATCTCGAATCATTTAGGACTGTGTTTATTGATCGTGCGGCATCTCCTGTTCGATCTCCTCGTTCATGGCGTTTGATATTGATATATTGATATGGATATATATTGTTCCCTGCTTGATATATCGCTTTGCTTATTTGTAAGTCGCTTTGGATAAAAGCGTCTGCTAAGTGAATAAATGTAAATGTAATGATATTGTCGCTGATTTGAATATGAAGTTTATATTTATTAAGTTATATACTTATAACAGCTGATCGAGACGATTTTATTTTTCATTCGCCTGCTAATAGGACTCATGGACTCAGACCGAGTAACCTGTTAAAGAGACTCCTCCTTTCTTCCGTTCAACTTTTTGGGATTCAGGAAGAGAATGTGTGAGTGAAGGAGCAAACTAAAAGATCAAAGTAGTAAATCAAAGACGTGTTTATGCAGACGGGAATAAAATTTGGCTGCAGAGTTTTAAAAAAAAAAAAAAAAAAGAAGAAAGAAAGAAAGAAAGAGAGGAAGTCATTTGGTTTGCAATTCTCTCAGAGGAGTGTGTGTGTGTGTGTGTGTGTGTATGGGGGGAGGGGGGTTATTCCACATGCAAATACATGTCTGGACTCTCTTCCCCTTCATCTCACATGTCCACATGCCTCTCGCTCTTGTCCTACTGACGGAGTTTCTCTACGGTGCAGCCTTGCTTTCAGGCATTATATAAACGCCTTACGCATGCATCGATTAAATGCGTGGGGGGGATCTAGTTATGATTTACAAAAGTTCACCTCTGACCTCCGTAACGAAAGCCATTCTGTAAGATTTCACATCGACATGTGATGAGCAACGAGTGGAAATTTAAAGTGGCTCGTTACTGGATGTTCGGGGCGAACGGTTGCGGGAGATTTGATTTAGCCGTGTGTAATGCGTGCTGAGTGAAACAAGAGCGCACAAAATCGAATAGAGGGAGAGACGCCTGAGGGAGGAGAGCAGAGGAGAAACCCTGACGCATTGTAATTTGAAATAAGAGAGAAAATGACGTGGAGGAATCGGAAAACAAGAGTAAAAGAGTCACGCGTCGGTAAGCCATTTGGGCAGCGGTGGGTGAGAGGAAAGTGACGATACAGTGTGTGAACACAAGCTGCTGCGTGGGGAAATATACCCACAAGCCCTAGCGCTATAATCAATCTCCCTTCTGTGTGCCGGGCGTGTTGATATTCGAGCAGTCCGACATCCTCTGTCGTTTCCTCGTGCGCTCACGTTTATTAGCAGAAACGCACAGACAAGCACTGGCAGCGAATGCATACAGAGACACACTCTGCCCCCTGCGTTGTCCTGGCCCAGGTTAGCAGTCTGCCAACTCAGGAAGATCAGCCTGTCCTCATAGACCAGCTGCCGCAAGGACACTTGGCTACAGCAGGCTTTAAGCGGCAAATCGCTTTCCTCCCGGCTCGGTTCAGTGGACGCCGCGTGTAATTCCGATGAGAATTACTCTCGCTTGGCATACAGAGCGATCATCGCGCATCGGTGCTGCCTTTATCGCGTCACCTTGACCAAGCTTAACTAAATCTTTCAGATTCAATGACCGACCTTAGCTTTTATTCATCACACTGAGAGTGCATAATGACACTCCGGTGTCTACCGCCAATGAAACTGGGTAATTAAAATGCTCTTATCTTCCAGCAGAACAGCCTCAAATCCATCTCGGTGTCACCGAGCCTCTTAGAGTTTTGCCTCATCACTTGTCTTGAGTCCTGCGTTTAAGAATTTGCTCAATTTTCGAACAGGGGGGAAAAAAACAACATCATCAGGCCATTTAATATTTCAATCTCGACAATAAAAAAATTACGAAGCTGCCATCTTAACCAATGCGAATATTAGTTTCAGCCAAGACATTCCATCCATTTTCTGTACCACTTATCCTCCACAGGGTCACGAGGAGCCCACAAGGCAGGGGACATCCTGGACCTACATCGCAGGGCACAATCGCGAACACACACACTTCGGACAACTTAGAGAGGCTAGTCAGCCTACAACGTGTGTCTATGAACTGGGGGAGGAAACCGGAGTACCCCGAGGAACCCGGGAGAACATGTAAACACCACGCACATAGGGTGGATGCGGGAATCGGACCTCCAACCCTGGAGGTGAGAGGCAAACGTGCGGATCACTAAGCCACCGTGCCATCAGATATATTCCACATTACAGATATATTCCCTGCATACATCCCAAAAGCACAAACAGCAAAGAACGGCATTAACTGGTGAACTTAAAGAAGTTAAGAAAGACATAATGACAAATTCACACCCAGCTGATGAAGTCGCAGCTTAAAAACAGCAACCAAACCCGAATAAAAGTTTACTGAAAGACAAACAAGTCACAGGAGACTGGCCCCTTTTATACCACATGTAAAAGGATACATGATCCTGCTGATAATGATACTGGTTGGCTTTAATCTTTAATTTCTGCTGAATCATTTATTACCAATTTTACTACTCACGGTGACTCAAAAGGGGAACTTTGCAAATATCATGCCAGGATGAAAAATTAGCGCTGACGCAAAGGGCCGCCATAAAACAAGGGAACCATTGTAGCCAGGAAATACGCTTCAGCTCTCAACACTGCTAAACAACCTAGCAGCATTCCATACAGACGGCCAATTTGTAGCCCGGTTGTCCCTTTCTCCTCTCTTATCATACCGTCCTCTCATCTCTATGAAGGACGAACAGCACACGGTTTCTCTCGTCTTTACACACTGTGCGCACTGCCACCGTCACCCATCAGAAACCGAATCCATCACGTGCTCTTGAGAGCCACGTGGCCCGGACCACTCCGCTTTCTTCTCCGATCTCTCCCCTTCTGATTCGAGTCTCGAATGGCCAATGAACGCGCCGTTATAGACATCCTATCCTGCTGTGTGTGTGTGTGTGTGTGATGAGGACGTACGCCGTCGCCTCTCATTCCCATCAAACTGCTGGACGGCAGAGGTCTGAGATCGAGTTACCGCCTTGAGATCGGCCACAGCAACCACTCACATCCGCTATAAAGGAGCGTGGACGTGAGAAGTGATTGGATTGAAATGGACTGTAGCCACTGTACTCCAGGCTCATTATACAGCTCTGGTGAAAAATATGAATTGATAGGCAGAGAATTAAACCTTCTTCTTACACATGTTGCCGTCGTTTATTTTCACTATTATTCCACAGGCATTGGCTGGGACAGTAGGTCTGTTTATATTCCACAGACCCAGACCAGTCCGGACACTACAATAATCTTCCAAACACAATCAGCATCAGTGAGGTGGAATGATACACTAGCAGTGCATATGCTTTGGATAAACTCGAAACCGGAGAACAGCGTTAAGAGGATTGACTGTTGCCTCCCTAGGAGGCTGGTAATGAGCTTAATTTCAGATAACGATCAGCACATAGCATACCATCTGAGAAACTGCACCGTCAGCTACTCTGTGGCGGAGTTTAGGCAGGACACGATCATTCTGATTGAACAGGAAAACGTTCGATATATTCTTCCAAATCTGCCATGCGCTTTGAGGAAGGTGGAACGTACTGTACACGTCATTGGAAGCGATGTATACAGTACGGAGGCGTGTGTGTGTGGGGGGGTGCAAAAATGCAGATCCGTTCACCCTGGCACTCACCTGTGGGCTGAACTTTGACCACAGTCTTGTCAGACTGCTTGCGCGTCATGGAGTACCAGGAGCGGTCGGGGTCCTGGATCCACTCTGATGCCTCGCAGTAGTACTGGCCCTCATCTGTGGGCTGTAGGCTGTAGATCGTGAGGCGGTAGGACGTGCTGCTCGTCTTGTCCAGCCGCACGTCTCCGGAGGACAGACGCTGCCGGTATGACGTCCCAGGCCTGAGCACCATGTCTCGCGTCAGGGTCACGAGGTCCCTTGCCTGGCCAGACGGCTCGTCCGTGGAGCGCACGTACCAGCCGACGGCGACGTGTGTGTGCTGAGACGTCTGACGCGTGACCTCGCAGATCAGCTGCAGCGTGTCCCCTTCTACTTTGGACAGAGTCTGAGTGGCCGATGTCACGGACAGCGTGTCGGGAATCACTGCAGGAAAAGGGATGGAAAGGACCGTGGTTAGAAACGTGCGCACGTAAAAAAAAAAAAAAACAACAACATCAGATTACTCGCGTTCTGACATGCGTTCAAATTCAATCGGGATTCTTTTGGCACCGGCGCTGTACCTCGTTATTATTACTGCTCATCGCCTCGGAAAAATTAAGCCTCTTACTTACTTTCTCGCCCCGGTTTCCGCGTCAATAAAATAAGAAACGGTCTCGACTGACCAACTCCGTTCCCGTCTGTCCTTAATAATACATACTTAAAGTCCACTAAACCGCAATCATGTGTTTTTCTCTAATCCAAGGCAATACATTGAACTCCCCAGTATTCACTACAGATATTACCACGTCGGCCATAATTGCTCAAGCCTGGCAGCTCCGCTTATTCACCCACCTGTTCAGTCATTACCTCGTGGGAAATGGATTACCTGCTGTGTGCGAGCATAATATTTAACCAGATTCACTAGTATGGTTTTCAATCTACTCGGATCATTCTGCTGAACAGCGCAGGGATTTCTTCATCTCCAAAAAACAATCTGTAAACAACACCACAACGTTATAGTAAAATACTCCACTGTGGTGCGTCACGATACAACCCGGTAACAAATTCTTTTTCACCATCTTTAATTTATTAATGAACAATACATGCTATTTAACTGCTTTAATGAGTCTTTATTGATCACATATACACATGTACAATGAAATTATTTTCTTCGTATACCCCAGCATGTTTGGAAGCTGGGGTCAGCCATGATACAGCGCCCCCTGGAATAGACAGGGTTAAGGGCCTTGCTCAAGGGCCCAACAGTGGCAGATTGGCAGTGCAGGGGCTTGAACCCCGACCTTCTGATCAGTAACCCCGAGCCTTAACCGCCAAGCCCCCACCGCCCCTTTTCAATTTCATTCCCAGTCCCCCCCCTCCTCTTTTCTAACGAACTAGACAGAGTAAAACGACTCGTCTTGCTACCGAGAACCCAGAAAGGAGAATCTCCTCTGTCCAGAAGGCTCGCTCGATGTCGGGAGCGATACAGAGCGCCGGCGCGTCAAATTCATTCCGTAAAACGTTAAATAAACGTCTGCGAACGCAACACTTTCGATGTAAGAAGCTTATCGGTAATCAGTTTATGATAAGCCTGAAATTATATGGCGCTTCCACTATACAAATCCCTGCGCGTGAGCTGCTAGTAAGGAAACCGTAACGTTTTAGGACGGATGCGTTCGAATAAACCATCTGGAAGATTTACACGGCTTCTGAGTTGAGAATGCGACCGCGTTGGGATATAATAGATGCGTTTCGTTGAAGATCAGGATATATCTTATTTTAATGTAAGGACAGAGTGTTCAACAGGCTGCTACAGTCCACCATGTGTGTGTGTGTGTGTGTGTGTCAGAGATGCGAGGGAAGTCTGCGAACGAAGACCACTCTAAGCCACGGTATAATTTTATTTCTTTTTGATTTCTCGTTGTTAAATCATTCCGAGTTATCCACTTGATTCCTACGACTGTACCACAAACGTTTCTGTTAACTGAGCCTGGATCGCGCGGGACGCCAAATAGAGCCTAGTCATTTCCTTTCGTCGCAAGTCTATCGTTAGAGGATCTTTGTCGGATAATCTGACATGAAGAGCATATCTTATATAACAGCCCGTCACAGAAAGGCTGTATTGGGATCGTCTTCGACCGTGAGCGAGTACTGATATAAAAAACCCCACTGCGGACATCACACAGTCGAAAACCATCTTTGGTTCCATTCGGTGAGTCAGACGGAGATATTCAGCATGTCCACTTAGGGGAAAAACGTACCAACTAACTATTTATTTATTAATTTAGAACATACTGAAATAAAAATGAAATGAAGAAAGCCGTTAGGAATTCCACACGGATGTTGAAGCGATCACACTCGCTTTAGTCGAGCTTTCTCTTGACTACTAAAATAAAAATAATGGCAGCTTGACTGAGATGATGGAAAAGCTTATGAGGAAAGCGGATGAGAACCTGAGACGGAATAAAGTGCGGTGTTAGCGTTCTAGTGCTTTTTAGAGCGGAGCCTCGGTTTAAGAAGCATGTATTTCTCCTTACGGATTCATCCGGTGTATCAGACGCCTGCTTCTCTTCTACTTGTCGATAGCCGACTGCATTAAAAGCATTAATGCATGCCGTGATTTGTTTGTTCGAGCTGAACGAGCCCATAATCCTGAGAAGAACACAAGAGAAATTATGGTTTAAAAGTTGCTCGTGTCTGCTGGAATAAACGTGAAGCTGAGAACGCTGAAGAACGTGTGTGTGTGTGTGTGATAATGCACTGGTGTTCTCAATTATTCAAACTCCACTTTGCTCACAGATTTTCAAAGTAGATGCAGATGGTTTAAAAGGAGGTGGAGTGACAAAGCTACGCACCGCTGATGATTTAAGATGACTGAGGAAAACGAGGAAGAAAAGGGAAAGAGGAGTCATATGACTTACATATGACCTGAAGAGTGGAGAGAGAAGAGAGAGAGAGAGAGAGAGAGAGAGAGAGAGAGAGAGAGAGAGAGAGAGAGCGTGAGCAAGCACAAGACAGAGCCAGCGAGAGAGTGCGAGTTAGAGTGACAGAGAGAGAGATAGAGAGAGAGCGAGAGAGGGAGTGAGAGAGAGAGCACGAGATAGAGAGAGGGAGTGAGAGAGAGAGTGAGTTCTAGAGAGAGAGGGAGCGAGAACGAGAGAGTGACAAAGAGAGATATACAGAGAGGGAGCGAGAAAGAGAGAGAGAGAGAAATACAGAGAGGGAGTGAGAGAGAGAAATACAGAGAGGGATTGAGAGAGAGAGAGAGAAATACAGAGAGGGATTGAGAGAGAGAGAGAGAGAGAGAGAGATACAAGAGAGGGAGAGAGAGAAATACAGAGAGGGATTGAGAGAGAGAGAGAGAAATACGAGAGAGGGATTGAGAGAGAGAGAGAGAGAGAGAGAGATACAGAGAGGGAGAGAGAGAAATACAGAGAGGGAGTGTGAGAGAGAGAGAGAGAGAGGGAGTGAGAGAGAGAGCTCAATTTGTAATTAGTCAGTGGACCTCTGCTGTTTTTTTTTTTTAATAAGCCTTTTTTAATCTGTACAGACTAGGAGGGCGCGATATGGAAAAATAATCACACCACAACACTTGAAGACATTTCCAGGACACATGTTCAATATCACAATGTGCAATTTAGCTAACAAACCGGCAACAAGGACCGCAATAGGTTCTGAGGTTTTTGTATAATAAAAGGAGGGGAAAATGAAAAGGTGTTTTTTTTTGTTTTTTTTTTAATGTCCTGTCAGTTACAGATAGTAAAAGCCCAGATAGTGGACAATAAGGACAGTACAACATTGCCCTGCTCTAGTGAACAGTATTAGGGAAAGAAAACTCGGGCAGAACCCTTGAGGACACAAGAGCATTATGAAAGGTTGAAAACTGAACGAAATTGTCGGAGAGCAAGAAAAACAAGATTTGAATCGGAGCGTGTACTCCGTTGCTTCTCTGCATTCACTGTTTGCTACCAGAGTTAGGGGAACGATAAGGGCTATTGCCTCATAACACATTCCTCTGTGAAGGCGTTTTGTGTGTACAAGTGTGTGTGTGTGTGTGTGTGTGGGCATGGACTAGAACAGTCCTCAGCGTTCCAATACAGCAGAGCCAACAGTCCGCCCACACCGCGGACACTTGATGAACATACCATCCAAATAAGGCAACGGCTGAAATCAGTAACCATCGCTTATCCAAGGTATTCCACAAGCCCCAAGAGACACGAGTCTGTAGCACACTAGCACCAGCACGGATCATATTCCACACAAATAATAATAAAAAAAGGGGGGTGAGAAAAGAAAAAACAACAAGAGAGAGAAATAAGAGTTTGTTACCATAACAACTTCTCAACGAGAGCCACGCAGAAATGTCCCACTGTTGCCATGCCAACAGTACAGTCTAAAATTCTCAACTCCTGGAGCAATAGAGGACATCAAAGACCTTTAGCTAGCGATGCTAAGATTTCCTCTGCCAAGCCACGCTTCCGGCAAGTGAGCTCAGCCGGAGCAAAGCCTGCATCTGCATTCAGGCCAAGACATAAGTGAGGCTAACAGCCTTCAGGATAAACCAAAGACATTATCTCAATGCGAATCACTCATGTACCTAAAAGCATGTCAGTGATCTAAGCCCTGGAGCAAATCTCTCTTTTTCTTACAATCCAATTTCATTTCAAACCAAAGTAGCTCCTTCTTGTACACACCGGCCAGAGAAGTCCACACTCTTCTCCCAACACGCTCGATGTTTACAAGCTCATCAGCTCTTTCAGGACTATAGTCAGGTTCCTGTATATACACGTTTATATGCGTACAGCTATTGGAATATTCCTGTATGCGTGGTTGTTGTAAGTATGTCTGAGCTGCCATTCTGAAATACCTAGCCTATAGACTGAGCATGCGTATATAATGATTTTTATTTTTTTTATTAAATCACATATACAGTAGAGCACAGTGAAAGTCTTTTATTTGTATACCCCAGCATGTCAGGAGGTTGGGGTCAGAGCGCAGGGTCGGCCATGATACAGCGCCCCTGGAGCAGAGAGGCTTAAGGGCCTTGCTCAAGGGCCCAACAGCAGCAGATTGGCAGTGCTGGGGATTGAACCCCCGACCTTCCGATCAGTAACCGCCAAGCCACCACTGCCCCTTGACCCAATCTCCTTTTGGTGGGTTTTCTGAATGAAGAGTTCACACGCAACAACTTTCCGATTAGAACCGGCATATTCAAAGGGTGGGAATCAGAACTTGGCGAACCGGAATGTTGTCTTAATCTGAATCGGCCAATCGGATTGCGGCGTTCACAACGTGACTCGATACTAATTAGATTATCGCCAAATTCCGATTTATGCCGGAATATAGCGACGCGCATATTGGTGAAGATTTGACTAGATGATGTCTGTAAGCATCTTGACCATGTCGAAGGGGCGGAGTGCACCTCCATCTTCACCTCTCCCGTCTCACGGTGCCCACATACTCTTGCTTTGCCGGAATTTTCCCCTTGCTTCGCTAGTGGGCGTCGATTTGTCTCGAGGTCATTAACATTCATTAGTTCCAGACATGAAGGACCCGATTGTGTCACAGTGTGCTGATGTGGAATTTGTCTAGGAGATGTGCTCTGACCCTGAGGCATGGAAGACAGTAACAGAGTGTGCTTTCTGACCAACTGGCATGAAGGACTGCTCAGGGTTCAGTTCTCGGGCTACAAAACGTTTTCCCTGTAACCTCATGTGGCTCATCGGTGAAAGAATGATCTTCTAGATATGATCTTCTGCCTTCATGACAATCTTCCACATTCTGAAATTGCCAATTGCTCTGTGACCCCAATCTACGTACTGGCACTGGGCTGTCTATGCTGTGTCGCCGAGGCTAAATCTCAGAGATAAGAGGTACATGTCACTATACAGCAGCAGGGGAATTCAACTAAGATTCGTCACGGTCAAGTTTACAAATGCCTACATAGTCAACCAACATGACCGAATAGAGACATTACAGTTACAGTATAATGCAGCGGTCACCAACCCTGTTTCATGGAAATCTACCTTCCAGAAGAATTTAGCTCGAAACCATATTCGTGCCCAACTTTTCCGAATAGGCGTATTACGGGCCTGCGAATATGGGCTTCACGGTTATGACATCACACGCCAATATTAAAACATACCATCTGTTCCTGTATGCAGCGACACAGCAATCCAGGCAACATCTCTTTTTCAGTGGAACGAAAAGCGCAGTGTAGTGTGACCGCCCCTTTAAGAAGCTCTTAATGGACTGAAACAGGAGTGTTCGATTTTGATTGGAGATGAAACCTGCAGGAAGAGGATTGGTGACCACTGCTTTAATGTGAAAACCACGAACGATTCGTT